ACAACCAGTGTACGACGAGTACGCGGTTCTTACAGCTGACAATGATGATGATGATGAGAATTAAACTTTTATCGGAGACACCTAGTGGTAAATTTGCTTGCTGTTTTGGTTGGGAAAAACCCTTTTAGACGTACAAGACAACTTCACTACTTGTAATTAACTCATTGTGAAAAAGGAAAACGTAGGATAATGTTATGAGTGAATTGTGATTGGGTAGTTCATAAGGGACGTACCGCCAAGAGCCATCTAGAGGAAGGCCGATCGGACTCGCTGTCTGGCTTCCTACACTTTATATTTAAGTTGATCATAGTAGCCGAGCTATAGTAGCTGTACCCACGTGACCCTGTTCTGGATTATCACCATTTAGTGAAGTTTATTTTTCACATGCGAGCAGCCAACGAAAAGTAAGTCAACAAAGGGAACACGTGTGAGGCCGAGCCAACCTAGTTTGCCACTGTTTAAGGACACTAGATATCGTCCACATTTTGAAGAAAGAGTTATGAAGCTTTTGACAACTACACTCATTTATGTACCAATTTGGTTTTGACGGGAGACAAACCTGGATACTGGCTGAATCTCTGCCATGTTTATGGAGCTTATTCTCTGAGACGGATTGCAATAAGCTAAGTATGTGGTTTTATGCACATGATCGTTTTGTGTTGGCTTCAGGTTTTTATGCATTTTTGTGTCATAAAACAACCCTGGAAGGTATTTCATGCCTGGTTGTCTGGAAAGGTGCATTTTTTGATAATTTTTGGAGTGGTCGTTGGCTTGTTCGCTGAGCTGGGCAATTTGATTGCAAACGTTTCATCACCAATCGAGGTGGTTGTGCACAACCACCAACCCACCGCTACGCACTGCTACGCTCACAATAACGCACTGATGATGTCACCTCGATTGGTGATGAAACGTTTGCAATCAAGTTGCCCAGCTCAGCGAACAAGCCAACGACCACCATCTACGATACCTGAGCTACCAACATTTTCCTCTATAGAAAAGTTTTGGAGTTATCGACCATGTACATAAAGATTTAGGCAGTTAAAATACGTATTCCCAATGGTATACCATAAACTTCTTAAACGCCGACAAAAGATGAATACATTCGAAGCTTGATTCTCGGTTTGAATTTATTGTGATGGTTGGTGATCTGGTTGATTGAATGTGCCCCAGTCTGATACAAGGTAATGGGAGGCTCAGTGCGGTATGCTTAAGAATCCAGATATGATTTAGCTTATGGCACGTGGTAAAGCATACGGGGAAATATCGAGGCCTAAATGGGTGTTTGCCTGGTAATTTATGGCCCTCCAGGTTGGGGGTTGGAACATGTGGCGACTTGTTCCGTAGAAATGGTAATGCATTTGCATTTCCCGCCAAACACCGCTGCCTTGCGGTTAGGCTTTTGAGCCAAAGGCTTTGGTTGAGGACACTAATCGTCCTTCTGTCTAGGTGTGGGCGCCCTGACAGTATCCCAGCCCTCGTACAACCATACGGCAGTGAAGCATCAGTACCAACACTGATGTTGCTGTCTTTGATGATCATGATGAAACGCGCCCAACCTACCCATATTTCGACAAATTGACAGCCAATAATTTTGTTGTGCAAAATTGGTTCTCTCCGCTAGGTAGCTTATGTTTGGTGCTTTCGTCGGGGAACTCGCTTAAGAATTTTCGGTGTCTTCGTTTTCGATATTTTTAAACCCAGGTCGCACGTTGGCCGGAATCCAACAGCATCCTATTGATAAGCCTTATTAGAAGTAAATGGTCTCATTTAGCTAATTCAGACTTTCGTGATTTGCCTAGCTACCACAGTAAGGATGGTTCCGCTTTGCAAATTTGCGGAAATACCAGCTACGGCACCTTGAATAGCGTATCCACTACCAAATGCCTCAGACTTGAATGGATACACCTACACTCCAGTAAACCCGTCGTGGTCATACATATGGATTTTCATGGAGCATCCATGTCCTCCCGTCCAAGTAGAATCCTTTTATCTAACAGACTTACTGTTCAAATAATCAGAACTGTAAACTACGTGATGGTATTAGTCCTTTTTTATGCATCTGATTGGCGATAAAAATATATTTGTTGTTGATTTCACAACCAGGGTTTTGGGATGCGCGCTAATGTAGTTCGCACAACTCTTATTACGACCATCTGTGAATTTTAGATATCCGCCTCTCTTGGCCTGGCATCCTCAGAAATAACAGGTGTCAACCAAATTCCAGGTGTACGATAAATATGTACAAACTACTGGAATTAAATAAAAATTATCCATAGATATCTCTTTAAATGTTACATAGGCATGTTTTGTACATTTCTTGCCAATTCATCAAGTTATTGCCTAAA